GTCCTATATAGAGGACAGATCATTCATCACCCTCTCTAGCCCCAATTCTGTTTTCTCCCTCTTCTGTAGCTTATCTCCTTTCAAATTTGTAGGGAACGTTTTTCTAAGTATAGTATTCTATATGTAAAACAGAGCCTTCATACTTCTGCTTATGTTTTTGTGGTCACAGCAAAGCAGCAAGAAACAGGAAATTATTGACTTGAGCTGGTTGAAGAGTAAACAAGACTAAAATTGGAATGTCCGGTTGAACTGGATGATCTTGGATGTGCTAACTAATAAAAAAAAAAAAAAAAAGTGATGAAAGCTTTTATGTGGGGCTGACGGTCGAAAAGGTAGCCTTTTTTCTTCACAGCGGGGCAGCAACAGTGTCATAATCCAGGCTTACTTCCATATCGCTGCAGGCAGGAGCAATGTGGAGAGAAGCAAATAATCAATCACACACACACACACACACACAGCCTACTCAATAAGGTCGGATGCATTCAGCTCTGTTAAATGTGCTCAGCCTCAGGAATCATTATCAACTGGTGCCTAAACAGCTGAAATAATTTTTTGAGCTGGACTTGATCATCTATGGCCTTTTTACCTACGATGCTCGGATGGCAGAGTTCTGTGAACTGTTCACACTGACAAACATCCTGGCCATTTTCTGTTTTAGTCTGAGAAGGCAATGCCGTGTTTGTGTTGATGTCGTGAGTTACAGCAGCATGCCTTCTCATCTTTCATAGTGTTGTGTGGGCAGCAGATCCTCAGGGGAAAAGGAAAGATTTCTATTACATAATAGCTGGAGATCTAAATAAAAAGACTTAAGAAATTTAACATGTCCACTTGACATTGGCTTGACATTTCTGGGTTTGCACCTTGTCTTGTTTTTCTAGGCACCCTTCATAGAGAGAAAAAAAGATGTGGAGAGGGTAGAAGAATAGAGGGACGCACTCTTATGTCCCACTTTGCAAACTCTTTGCAGCCTACACTGCCAAGTCAATGTTACACCTATTCCACCTCCCCTAACGCTTTAAATAGCCCACTCTCCCTCAACAGGACAAACAAAGAAAAACACCCAGCCTTCAGCACACTGCACCTCCGACTGAACAGTTATTATCCATTTTGCCTAAACATGGAGCCTGTATTGTGCTTTCTATTCTCTTGTGACAATTCTGTCATCAGCAACTATCTGCAGAGAGAGATGTAAACACATGTCAGCATGGCAGGCAGCTGTCATCTGAGGGATATCAAATCTGTCTGGTGTATTTGAGCCAAGGCAGAGATAGTCAGGGTGTTGTGCTATTTTGCCTTTATTAGAGAGTGACATGTAGAGACAGACAAGAAACAGGGAGGGGGGTACATCATGCAACAAAGGTCCCGAGGTGGAATCGAACCAGCAATGATTGCACCCATGTGGGCATGAGCTGTAACCCTTCAGATATCAAGGTGCTATTTCTTTTATATTTAAAGAAATAGTTGAACGTTTTGGGAATTGTGCTTCATAGCTTTGCTGCTATGATTTAGACTTAGATGATAAGAATGACACCACTCTCATTTCTGTCTGTTCAATATGAAGCTAATGCCAACAGCCAGGTAGCTTAGCTTAGCATAAACACTGTATACACTGCAACAAAGCTAGTCTTCTTCAAGACTTCTAAGCTCACTGATTAACATGTTATGTCTCCATATAACGTGTTTGTTAATGAGCGTTATATTTGCTGGTAGATGGATTTTGTGACATTTGGACAGAGGCAGGCAGCTATTTGCTCTTGTTTCCTGTCTTTATGCTAAGCTACGCTGTAGCCTCATATTTAACAGATAGATAAGAGAGTGGTATCAATCTTCTCATCTTACTCTCTGCAGGAAAGCGAATCAATGTATTTACCAAAATGTCAAAAAATAATTTCTCTAAGAGGACATTTTTTTTCTTACTGCAGGACATTTTCTACAGTCTTATGATTAAAAATAACACTGTATCATAAAAATATAAATATATATAAACTGTGGTCAGTAGTGCTGTAGCATCATCGTCAGAGAGATACTGACACAGCTGCTGCCTAGTGTACTTGAATATGAAAGTTCCTTAAATTATTTTAGGGTCATTGAATCATTTTAATCATCTCGTGACAACTGCTATTTATCTTAGGACTTCTTATAATATTGAGCCCCTCAAAAATCACAACCTATTTATATATTTAGTGGTGGAAGAAGTACTCAGATCTTTTACTTAAGTAAAAATAAGTCATACATCACGATGTATAATTACTCCATTAAAACTAGAAGTAGTTCATTTAAAATTTTAAGTGAAAGTATTATCAAAATGTGCAGTGTTAAAAGTAAAAGTACGTGTTCTGTAAATTATATTTTACATTATAAGAGTATTAATACTGATGAATCAATGTGCAAGTAGCAGTCAGTGGAGCTATGTTTAACAGTTCATACACTAAAGTTTGTTAATTTAGTCCAATCGCTCTCAACATAGGAGTCGGGCCCTTTTACAGAGGGGCAATTTAAATCTAAGGGGTTGTGAAATGATAATTGGAAAGGGAAATTGTTACAGATTGTAGATGTTGGACCCAGAAGCAGACTCAGACACAGGCAGTACAAGGACAATAAAAATAATGTAGTGATGTAGTAATTAAAAAAGTGGAGCAGGGAATGGAGATGGAGATAGTGGCGATGTTGCTAGAGAAGGCAGAGAGCAGAGGGTGCTGAGCAGTGGCGGAGAGAGAGCGGAGCAGGCTGGATGAATGAAGGAGAATGGCGTGGTTGGCTGGTGTTGGTTTGACATAGCTGGCTGATAGGTAAGCATGGTACAAGTACAAGGAGAAACAGGATAACCGTAAAACTTCAGTTAAAAGCCTAGTCCCAATTAGACGCCTGTCCCTTTTACTGGCATGGTGTGGCTGCACATTTTGACAAATAAACTAAGGTTTTAATTAGACACATGGTCTGGGTTTTATAGAAATTCTTTGGATATATAAAACCTCTTGAAGCCCACTGTGTCGCCTGCTTGAGCTACTTCTAAACTGCTTAGACTTCATATTTCAATTGTTTATTTTATTTTATGGAAACAATGAGTACCAAAGTATTATTTATTCAGATTTAACAGCATGGAAAAGGAATTAAAGGCCTGTCCTATATAGTCGCCTGTCCCAAATATAGGCAGGGTGAGTTCAGTTATGTAACACATAAAAGCCCAGGATAGTAATTGAAGTTTCATGGTAAATAATAAAGGCTACAACAGGGTAGCTACTAAAAAAAAAAACAGGATACCCTGAGAGTTACTGCCACAGCAGCTGACTGAATAATCAGGCAAGGAATGATTGAAGAACCGTGGTAGATATACTGCTGGCCCTATCAGCTGATGAGAGGCAGGTGTGTGTAATCAGCAGGTAACCAGAGCCAGGTGGGAGAATGAGTCACTGCCACGCCCACAGTACACAGACACACAGAGAAAGACAAAACACACAGGGGAAAAAACTGGAGTCATGGGGAAAAAGAAGGAAAAACAAAGATCTGATCCACAAATTTCTATTAATATTTTGGACTTTTATCCACTCTTTGATTTGTTATTTGCTTATTATTATTTGCTTGAACAGTTTTTAAATGAAACCATCTGTAAAGTTTACAGGAGAAATGTCCCATCAACAACTCAGAGATCTGAGACAGGACAGTTGGCACTGGTTTCATCTTTAACAAACTGTATTTTATAAACTCATCATATGTAGTTTTTTAATGTAAAATCATAATTTGTAGAGTGGAGTACAAGTATAAAGTAGCATAAAATGGAACCTCAAAAATCTAAGTAGGTGGGCTATTTCAGTACTTGGTTACTTTCCACCACTGCATATTTTCTCCTGACTGTTAACCCAGCAGTGCCATATAGCTGTATGTGTCCCTAAACAAAGCGTTTCTATGTGGGTCTCTTTAAGCTCTGTATGCTAAATTTAACATCCGCCTGTTTCACAGCCTGTTCATCCTGCAGATGGATCATGGCACAGGGTATGTGTGGATGTGAGTGCATTTGCTACAGGGAGAACAGAAGGAGAGGGTTCCTTGAGCTTTGAATGTACATCTGTCAGAATCAGAGAAGAGCAGCTGAGCAATGGAGACTATAGCGCACACATCACCGTGGACTTCCTGTATCTACCATGAGTCACAATCTGTCTGTTATGTAAGGCCTCAGAGGAGAGAGGGGAACACTGACACACCTGTGCCTCAGCCTGCTCCTTGCAGGTGTCACGTTACATTCACTTGGCAGCACAATTCAAACAGTTCAAACTGCACCTAAACATTTAATTATGAGTCACTCTGCGGGAATATACCTATCATTTTTCCTCATTTAGGTCGCCAATATTTCTTTAGCGTCATCAGATGAGAACAGCTTCCCTTGTTCATTTGCACACACATGGGCTACCTGTATATTTAGGTGTGTGTGTGTGTGTGTGTGTGAGCGGCGAATGCAGGCAAGAAATAAATGAAGGATGATTTTGGAGACCTTGTGTTGTGTTTAGAACAAGAAAAGATCATTTGGCTGCAGGAGCCAAATTGCCACCTCCTCACCAGCAAAAACCTTGCTCAAACCTCAAAACTACCCCCGCAGCCTACGGTATACCAGCCACGTGACCTCATCCCCTGCCACACAAACACTATAGCAGGGGGATGCATCTCTTCTTGCTAAAGATTTCTAGGGCACCCTTCACCAATGCAGATCTTTATCTACAGTTGCATGGGCAGTTTTTTTTTTAGCTGAGGTGATCAACAGGTCTGCAGTGATGAACCCACACCATTATGTTTCTAATCCAGGGGGGCGTAGTAAAATGTATCTGAAATGTGGGTGCGTGTGTGTGTGTGGGACAAGTGAACAATCCGACTCATGTGGAAAAATGCTTTATAATAACTGACAGGACATTTATTCAAAGAAATAGGGCTGTGTGTGTGTGTGTGTGTGTGTATGCTATTGTCTGTGGACTGTGTATGTGTGCTGTGTGTGTATAGCCTACTGTGTGCAGGCAAACGTCACAGCTCGCCGAGACAGCCTATGCTAGGGAGCGCGCGCGCCACACTTCCTCAATCGACTGAATCACAGAGCTACAAAACGAGAAGAAGAGAAAAAGCAACTTTCCGTCGTGCTGCGGAGAACAAGCACCGAGTTTACAAGACGAGGTGAGGCTGCGGTTTTTTTAAATTGTTTTTTAGGTTTGGAGTTTAAAGAAAGTTGCGCAAAGACAAAAAACAACCTAAAGCAAAAGATACGGATCCCCTCTTCTTATTTTTCTTCTTTCATGTGTGGGGAAACAATGTTGCGTTAAATCGTTTAACCTTGACCGCTAACGTTAACGTTAGCTACTTACTCCTTTACAGTACCTTAATGTTGGTAACATTACGCTTTTGTCTACGCCTTTTCTATAGCCATTAAAAACATAGTAAGCCTACTTACATTAACATTACTTAGCCAACTAGCTGTTCTGATTTAAATAATAAAGACTAACTTTTTTTTTTTTTTTAGAATAGTGTTGCTTCGTTTTTTTTAACGGCAATTAGAACAGAAATGGTGCGACGGAATCTGTGACCTGGGGGAAAAGACTGCTTGATTAAACATTGACTGGTGAAGTGTTACGACTCTGCAAACTGGACATCACTTTATGCTAAGACAGCTCTCAACAACGTGTGAAACTATCCAAATACAACGGGATCACTTTAACAGCAGTAACACCGTTCGCTAGTCCGGGCCACAGAATCTCACGGGTCACGGAATGCGTTGTAACACCGTGAGGAGGAATGTGGGCAGGTCTGAACAGCAAAGAAACGGGAGTGTTATTTGAAATAAACCGATAACAGTTACATGCATATGTCACAAAAAATTAATCTGGTTGCAAACTATTATCTGACTCATGCGTGGTGACATCTGTGTTCAGTCAACTGACAACCAACCACATCCTGATCGGAGACCGAAATGTTGTAAAAAGAAAATCAGGTGCTCTGACAGATTCTTCGGTCGATGCTGATTCTCTTAACTGCCCTCATTTGTAACAGCAGCAACACGTTTCTTTGTGACCACCATAGTGTTTTGTACAATGGTATAGTCTTTGAACATAGTGTGCAGGATTCAAAACTAGTTAGGCCTACCTGATGTTCATAGCTGTTACAATTTCACAACGTGTGTGTGTGAGTGTGTGTGTGTAAGACTCAGAGACCTGTGAGGACTTGTTCCCATCACCAGTAGAAAGACTGTAGTTTAAGGCAGACAGGCAGGGTGCATTTACACCCAGATATATAGCAGCTCCCTCTCTTTTTCTGTATTTTACTTCACTCTTTTTTTCCCTGTCACAGTGGATGAAGGGTGCCCCCGCCCCCATCTTCACTTATTATTTTATTATTTCAAGTAACTTGATAGTAATATTACTATAGGGTTCAGTCTCCAGCACTCACGCTTGACTACTAATGCCACTACTACAACTGTATTATACACCAGGCATCCAATACCTGTATTATAGGTGCTTATCCTATATTTTAAGATATGGTGTTCAAATACAAGCAAACATACACAAAGTTTTTTTTTAGTGTGATTACTCTCTGGGTGTAATAATATAATAACATAATGTAGCCTTTGTAAAAGTTCTTGCTTCTTCTGGTAACAAACACTTTTGAGTTAGTCATTAATGCAGGTATCAGGAAACATATGTAAAAAATGTTACAGTATGCTGGTACATGTGGCATAACTACGGAATTTCACAGAGGGGACAAATCGAAACTGCACATGAACAGTTTGCTAGGTAATCAATCTCTACCACCCTCAGTCACACAGTGTGCTTGCTATTGACATCACAGCTCACAGCAGCAAGTCAGTGAATGAACATGGTCATTCATCATCATCCCCCCCCCCCCCCCCCCCCACACACACACACACACACACACTTCTTTCTTCCCTGTACCTTTTTTCTGTGTCTTACTTTTCTGGCCTTAGAGTAGGTGGTTATAGGTTTAGGATTGTGAATACCAGCCAGGCCTACTGTGGTGCGCTGCATGCCTGTATTTGGATTAGTGACATGCTGAGGCTCGCTCTGCCTTTGTAGCATTGGCGAACACCTCCACTGTTGCAGCTGCTACCTTTCAGAAACTAAACAGTCAAGATAACACAGTGACAGGGAACCAAACCAGTAGCAGATGTGCAAATGATACAAGCACATTTGACACTGTGGTTGTATTTGTAGAGGTGTGGAATTAACAGTCTAGGCATGTATGAGGGCAAGGGTGTGACTAAAGTGCCGGGCCAGAATATGACGTTGATGGGAGACACCTTTTGCACCATACAAACAGAAACCGGTGGTGCATAGGATGTTATAGAAAAAGTGGTCGCTCCATCTGTAGTACATGTAAACTTATGCAAGCAGCAAATCGTGCATGCAGCAGTTGTTGCCCAGCATTGATCTCTCACCAACATGTCACTATCAGAATGTATTTCACCTCTAATGCACAAGGGATGCAACTAGTTTTCATCATCTTTTAATATATTGATTTTAATTGTTAGATCTATCAAATCTCTATTAAAAACATGCCCATCACAAGATCCCGAAATGATGTAGCAAAGTTTTCAATTTACCAGCACAAGTCTACTCCCCCCCCAAAAAAAGTCAGATATAGCAATTGTGATAAAAAATATATGTGAAATAAATACAAAATACATCCATCCATCGTCAACTGCTTATCCTGCGTACAGGGTCGCGGGAATACAAAATACATGTCATATGATTTTTATTTTATTTTTCTTTTAATTCCAAGAACCATATTTGGAACCAGGGACAAAAAACTGTTTCTGTGAAAACGTGTGGTTCAACAGTAGTTGTTCTGTCCTCGCTGACACAGCCGTCTACTGTTTTTGTGTGCAGGTGTCTGACAGGGAGGTGTCAGGAATGTGTTTGAAGTTTATTTCTCAGATGTTAAAAGGAGTATTATCCTCTCTCCTTTTTCTGATATTGTTTGGTCTCACAATGCACATAAAGATTATGTAGTTTAACCTGTAGCATTTATCTTAATGCTTAAATGTGAGCCAGGAGCATTGCTGCACAAGAATGTGAAGCTGTGTTTATGTATGCCATATCATAAGTGGATATGATATTGAACTGTAGCTGTGTGTGTCATTATAGGTAAATGCCACCAACACTGTGATTGTCTGTCTCTGAGAACAAGGGTACCTTGGTACTCATCACCATGGCTCCTTTCTTGAGGATTGCCTTTAACTCCTATGACCTGGGTGTCCTGCCTCCTCTGGCCGACGCTCCCTTCTGTGCAATCAAGATGAAGGAGGCCTTGACAACTGGTGAGAAACTCTTTGATAGTGTACACTACCCTGTCTTTTACAGAAGTGGTCACCTCTGTAAAAAAGCATTTACTTCCTTCTAACTTCCAGCGCTTGAAAACACGAAAAGATGTTTTTGTCTGTTCTCTTTCCGTACATCTTCCTTTTCCTAGAACGAGGTAAGACCCTGGTTCAGCGCAAACCCACCATGTATCCAGCTTGGAAGGCCAGTTTTGATGCACACATCTATGAGGGCCGTGTGCTCGAGGTACTGCTGATGAAGACAGCGGAGGAGCCTCTGGCTGAGGTCACTGTTGGAGTGTCCGTCCTTGCTGAGCGCTGCAAGAAAGCCAACGGGCGCGCTGAGTTCTGGGTACAGTCCTCTGTCCATGTGAGCAATTTCTCAGGCTGTCTGTGAGTAAATGTCTGTGTGTCTAACTGTGTTTGTGTGTTCAGGTGGATCTCCACCCTTCAGGGAAAGTGATGATGGCTGTGCAGTATTTTCTGGAGGGAGTGGATGCAGGTATAGGAAATAAAATGGAAACATTCTCTACTTTCCTCTTTTCTCTGCCCTTTTTTCCTTGTAATCTATATAATTGAATGGTTGCTTTGTTTTCTTCTATCATGACCCATGTCATTTAAGATTACGGTAACGGTATTGCGATACAATAAGTGTTCTGTAAATTCCATTAATGGTTTAAAATAACTTTTTATCCATCCATCCATCATCAGCCGCTTATCCCACGTACAGGGTCGCGGGGGGCTGGAGCCAATCTCAGCTTACATCGGGCGAAAGGCGGGGTACACGCTGGACAGGTCGCCAGTCATAACCTTTTATTTGGAGCTTAAATAGAAACAAAAACAAATTGACTATTTATAATTTCATTCTCCTCCACAGTATTTTTCAAACTTAGACCCACACACTAAACCAGAAAAGAGACAAAAATCATGCATATACAATTACAACATACAGATCGGCCTACCTGGTTAAATAACGGTTAAATAAATAAAAAAATATGCCTATGGGTACACACACACACACACACACACACACACACACAAACCTCCACAAAAGGATACACTTGCATGGTTATGGATATGTTCACACCATTCCACATATCTGCACACATCCAAACATATAAACTAACAGCATGTATTCAGCGTTGGTGCCTGTGTATGTATTGTACTGAAAGTTGCGTTTCAGGTTTCTACATACTTAGATTGATTTAAGTAATAGCCTGCTTCAAGGCTTATATAAAAAGAAGGAACAAATAGTAAAGTTAATCTTTACATTTGCTTAGTCAGGGCACGGTAATGATGTTGTAAATCTGAGCAATAATTTGATTCCAGTTTCATTTTATGGTGTATATAAGGAATTAGACATTTGTTCTAAACTTAATAATTGTATTATTAATTATCTTCCAGTTAATAGCGCTAACACTTTTTGCACTCATAAATCCAATCTCGATATTCTCTTTAATAATCTTAGATAAAACGTACACAATTTTCTTCCAATATATTTGAAGTTTGGGCATTTCCATATCATATGAAAGAAAAAGTCTTTCTCCTTATTTCAGTGGCAACACTTTTCATTGCTATATGTTGATAAACTTTAAAATTTATTATTTTGTTATTTGGCAAGTTTGGCATTCTATGTATTTTCTGCCAAATTGGTGCCCACGTTTTAGTGTCTATGTTCTCTTCAAGGTCCGTCTCCTAGATCTGTAATAATAAAACCAAAAAAATAAGTGAGATAAAACAAGGAACAGACTCTGCTAGCATGATCTCCTATGGCGGATTGTTCCAGATTGTAGGGGCCCTGACAGCAAAGGCCCTGTCTCCTTTCGTTTTCAGCCTAGACTCTGGAATGGCTTGCAAGGCTCTAGCAAGGAGTAGAGTTGGAAAGTGGGTGTATAGTATGAAAATGGGGAAGACTGTCTCTTATCTTTAGCATTCATCAAGTACTTAAATACCATGTTTGGTTACACAGGCTGCCCAGCTATTTGCCAATGTTTTTCCTTGTTAATGATGTTATCATTCACACGAGCATTTCATAGATTATCACTACATTTGTGACAAAATGACCATTTGTTGTGGGATGACTTATCTGTGTTTCTCTATCTGTCTGGAAGAGAGTAAGCAGGCTGTAAAGGAGGAAGAGGCTCCTACCCTGAACCGTAGACGAGGGGCCATCAAGCAGGCCAAGATCCACTTCATAAAGAACCACGAGTTCATCGCCACGTTCTTCAGACAGCCCACTTTCTGCTCCGTGTGCAGAGAATTTGTCTGGTCAGTGTGGCCGACACCTTAGGCCTATAAACAAACCTTCAAGGCAGCTAAAGGGGAACTCATAAACCACCGATTAGATAAAATAAAACAGGCAGAAGGACATGGCTAGATAAAACAGTATTGAGGAACTTCCTGATATTTGGCAGCAACTCTTTGTGTTGGCTGATTTATCTCAAAATGAGTTAAGCAACCTGTTTGCTTATGATGTTATTGATAAAACCAGTAAGGACAACCTTCCTTTTAAGTTGTAACATCTGTGACAGTGATAATCTTTGTCATCCTTTGATGGCTACTAATTCCACTGATCTACTCTGAAGCCCAATTTGGTCTCATTGGAGACAAAGTGTGTAGAAAAAGGAAACCCTGATACACAAATCAGCATGGGTGTACTCTAGCTGTTCATTAAGACTAACAAGTGATTAATCAGCAAACCATTCACATGATCCAACCATAATACAAACTGACCCATTTTTGTCACTTTGTCTCCCACAGGGGACTCAACAAGCAAGGCTACAAATGCAGACGTAAGTGTACAACAGTTTAAAACCTCCTGTGCTGTGAAATACTTGAAATAGCAGGCCGCTGCATAGATGGCATATATTAAAAAATGTGTACTTGAACGCCATTTTGTAAGCATTACTTTGTGGCCAGTGTACAAAGAATACAAATTTCTTTTTTTATCAGAATGCAATGCAGCCATCCACAAAAAATGCATAGACAAAATCATCGGCAGATGTACCGGTACTGCTGCCAACAGTCGGGATACCGTGGTACGTATCACATATTTGTTCAGTACAGCGTGTACTGTGAGTGTTCTCCATATGTCCAAAAGTTTCAGTTTATTGTGGGCATTTCTCACTCTGGTCTTTGCTGTTGTAGTAAAGTATCCTTCCTTAACAGTATGAACAATGAGAGTAATACAATTGAACTGGCAGGTGTTGCTCTGTCAGAGTTTAATACACCAGTCAGGATCCACATCCAGTAAGATCCTCTTTTCAGTGATCATCAATATTGGTAGATAAAGAGGATCAAAGACCAGCTGACCTAGATAATGGTTGCATGGAAATGATCAAGTATACTTACCCATGAAGTGAATAATAGATGGGGTGTGGTCTCAGCGAGGCACACCTGGGGAAAAAACATGAACTTTTTATCCAGCAGTGTGGTCACTTCTGACAGTATAAGCTCAGAGATGGAAGCAGAAGACAGGGCAAAAAGAAAAGGATGAGGTGCGCAGAGCTGTGACGTGTCACAGGCCACTGATTAGGATTCCTTTGCCACCGATTTTTCATGGAGATGATGAATCGCTTTTGTCCCCGCAGTTCCAGAAGGAGCGCTTTAAAATTGACATGCCGCATCGTTTCAAGACCAACAACTACATGAGTCCCACCTTCTGCGACCACTGTGGAAGTCTGCTGTGGGGTCTAGTTAAACAAGGCCTCAAGTGTGAAGGTACAATGCAGCTGTGATTGACTAATTGTTCGGGTGTAAGTGTACTTTTGTCTTTAGCAGAGTTTTTTTCTGTTCTGTTTGTAGATTGTGCCATGAATGTCCATCACAAGTGTCAAGATAAAGTAGCCAACCTTTGTGGTATCAACCAGAAACTTCTAGCTGAAGCGCTTACACAAGTCAGCCAGGTGAGTTCAAGGAGACACAAGACCTTCAATGCAAGGTCAAATCAAGTGCCTACAAGAGTTGACGCATAGTCGAAGTTACGTCTTAAGAAAGTGAAGGACAAAGCTGACTCAAGTATCATACTATCTAATTAAATTATTTTCTGTCAGACATTGCAGATATCTGAGTACATTATCTTTTCTCCATACTTTACTGAAGTGGGTTTAAAAATCAAATTGTAACTTGGTGAAGTTAAGAAAAAGCATTGTAGACAAGCACTTGATACATTTTAATGCCCTGCCCCAGTAAATAAGATTTTTTACACTTGTAATAAGAGTTTGTTTTTCCACAAACATTTATACACATTTATAATTACAAAAATGGCGTTGAGTTCTTTTCAGGAGTTGTTAGTTGTTAGGAGGCGAGTCTGAAGGGAGCTTGGACTTGGACAACATCCCAATTAAATGTTACTTAATTTGGATGTTGTACAAGTCCAAGGGTGTTACTGAACTGTCTTGTAACAAAGATAATATCACAATAATTTCACCTTCTTATTGATAAAGTGATGTTGAGTGGAAAAAGCCGATAATATATTTTAAACTACCACCAAAACATCCAGAGAACTACTTGTCTGCCTCATATGATCTGCTAAAAGATCATGAAAAAATTTTAACTATTGAAGTATTAAAATTACCGCTTGTCATGTGGCACGCAGCTTTGGCAGAAGTTTGTGACAGGTGACATCCGAAGAAAGCTTTTACAAAACAAAGTATTATTGTTGTCAACCATGATCTTAGACTGACCCCTATTCTAGCTGTGTTTATTGACACATTATGATTCCTTGATAGTAAATTGATTATTAACGAATGTGAGTGTCACTTAAATGTGAAACTCCTGGTCCTCAGTGTGTGTTGATGAATTGTTGAGAATTTGACACCTGACCTCAACGTTTAAGGACTGGCACCCTGTGGATCCCCCAGTTCTCTTGTTCTCTTTTTACAGGCATCCAATAGTCTGTAGTTTAGGGGACAGTCATAGAACACAATCGTTGTTTAAGAGAAGAATCAGACAAAATGTGTTCACATTGGGTTATACCACAGCTAGATGGGTAACGATTGCTGGGAAACTATTTGGCTGACTGTTTCATCCTTATTTTCCCATCCATCAGAAATCGTCGACCCGCCGTTCAGATCCAAACATGCCTAATCTGCCGGATATTGGAATCTACGATGAAGTGAACAAGCTTGCTGCACTAGAAGTCAATGGTCAGTGAGTGTTTTCCTACATGTGCATGTACTATATTTGCGCGCATTCATTTGAGCAGTATACGGACAGTACTGATAATAATACTTAGTAATACTCAGTGTTCACTATTTAAAATAATTATATGAAAAAGTCATTTCTATGTGTGGTTATTTGCTTGTCCATTAGATGGATCTGCCTATGGCAGACTGTGGGAGGGGTCCAGCCCACGTCCTCAGTCTCGTATTACCCATCTGACCCGCATCAACGTGGACAACTTCATCTTCCACAAGGTCTTGGGAAAAGGCAGCTTTGGCAAGGTACAATGCAACCATGTCAGTGTGAATTAAACTATGAGACTAAGAGTGAGTGAGAGGGTAAGCATCCTCCAGTCAACACCTGTTATATGTCATGGACACACTGGCAACTTCAGGCTACATATAGATATTATGACATAAATGAGTTGTAGACAGGATATTTACATTTAACACTTAACTTGACATTTCAATCTGATTTCTCTTAACACAGAAAACACAACAAAGTACCAATATTAATTCCTCTTCTCCTCTCCGTACTTCTAATTTCTTCTTCCCTTCTCTTTTTTCTTCTTCTCTTCACTTGTCAGGTTCTCCTGGCAGAGCTGAAGGGTCGTGGAGAGTACTTTGCAGTGAAGGCTCTGAAGAAAGATGTAGTGCTGATGGATGACGATGTGGAGTGCACTATGGTAGAGAAGAGAGTCTTGGCTTTAGCCTGGGATAACCCCTTTCTCACACACCTGTACTCCACCTTCCAGACCAAGGTAGTCCCTTTCCACCTCAGTGGTGTTTTGATCACTTTCTTTTCCTACTCTACGTCAGTGGTTGGAATTGTGTCCTCAATACTGAAAGTGCCGCTTGTCAACAGGAGCATCTGTTCTTTGTGATGGAGTATCTGAACGGAGGAGACTTGATGTTTCATATTCAGGAGAAAGGGCGCTTTGACCTCTTCAGAACCATGTGAGTCACACCTGTCACACAGACATAACACACAGACGTGATGTAAGACACACTCCCTGTCATCATTACTGTCGTGCTCCTGTAGCTGTACAGACTCACACAGGATCAATGAGCTGAAGCAGAAGAGCCTGTGTTAACTTTCCCTATGTCACTCTCTTTGTCTCCATTATGTTTTTGTTTTTTTTTTCTTTTACATGATATTCTGAACCCTGATAGGCTGGTTCTGGGCTGTCATCCGCTAGCTGCTGCTCACTTGCAAGCTGGCCTTGTAAGGAGTAAGCCGCTGTGTGTTGTTTGTATGGTGCAGTACCACCCACCTCTCTACTCACCTCTCAGTGGGAAAGCCTGTAGAAAAAACAATAGAAAAAATGGCACACTGATAAAAGAGAGTGTTATGAAGTCACTGAAAGCCAACTAAAGTTTTAACAAGTCTCATTTACAAACATAGATGAAAGTAGAAGTAAAACATTTAATCGCAGATGCTGTTAGACACTCAAACCAAGCTTGGATACAATAAATACAAAATAAAATGATTATGTTATTATGATATACAAAAAACTGGAAGTGCCTTCTTTTATGATTTCCCCCCCACCGATTAATGGTGACACGTTTATTGATTTCCCCTTCTGAAATAGGACACAGAAAGGACCATTAGTGGCATTTCTGGAGTTTTTTCAATTGTATCACAGAAACTTCCTCAGTAGAAGGCCTTTGCCCAGTCGAGGAATTGTAGACATTCAAATGTTCATTATTTTGACAAATAAGGATAAGAGTGAGGGTCTTTTAGGATGTTATGTTCACTAACGTGGGAGCAAAAACATACAAACTCAGAGCAGAAATGTACCTTAAAGGTGAAGCAAAGCTAGTTTGGTTTAATTCCAGGTAGGATTTGTAGACTTCAGTGCATGCAGTGTTATGTTTTTCAATTTCAATTCAATTTTATTTATATAGCGCCAAATCACAACAGTTATCTCACAGATAATTTGTACATTTGTTTTGAAGAATGTCAAGACTATGAATGCATTTACTAATATATTTCTTATATACTAGTATTCTTTTTGAACATACTAATGTAGGCTTAAATAGCAGGTCTCACATTATGAAAGAATTTCATTAAAATGAGTTCTGCCGTTACATTTCCTGTAGTTAAACCGGTCGCTCAATCTGGCCCCCCACGAGATGACAGGAGTAATTTTCCACTCTACACCTTATCTTGTGTTGGCGTCTGCTGAAATCCTCCTCACTCAGTAACCGCATTCAGCCAGGATGGATAATTTACCATCAGTGAGTGAAGAAAAAAGAGAGTGGGCTGTTTTCGTTATCTCACAGTGCATTAATATTTAGCGTCTGTGTGTTTATTTACACACGTTAAAATATAAAAGAGTAAATAAGCTTGCGTGTTGCTGCACAAGTTGTCACAGTGGAACTGAATGGTCTCCTGGATTTGATTATGCAAAATGTTTCCATAAGCAGTAAACGAACTTCAGAGTTTCCAGTGACCTCTTTACCAGCAACAAAGGCCCTGTTCTCCCAGGGGCTAGTGCTAATTTGTTGACGTGGTGGTGTAGAGAGTCTAGTCCAGTATCTCAACATTCTTCACATAGCAGAGCCCAACTTACTTACGCCTACTTTCACATACTATATGTAGACTGCATTTTACATTCCGTTATGTGTTTGATTCTAGTGTTGTTTCTAGAGCAGGTTTAGATGTGCGTGTACACTTTCTAACGTGTTAGCTTAAAAAGTGTTCAGTGAGAGAAGCTCAACAGAAAAAACCTGACAGCCTATTCTGTCCTTGTCAGTTAGTCATTTATAATCAATGACCAGTTATTGGATAATAGCGGAGGCTACTCTTTCTTCTCTCAAGACCCAATCGTTTCACCTGACACAGACGACAAGAGAAGAAGGTCAGAGATAGGCTAATCTTTCAGCCCATGGCCGCTCTCAGGTTTCACATTATGAGAGTGTTATTCACCTGTCTCCTGCTCCATACAGATGTCCTCCTCAATAATTCAGCTGTACACTGAAATGAGTCTGCAGTGACACCGGTGTTCAGCTGCCAACTCAGTAGTGAGACCTGTAGCTGTCCCCAGAGATGAGTAGCTGATATCTGTCTGTCTGTGCCATGTTTGTCTTCCCAGGTTCTACTCTGCTGAGATCATTTGTGGTCTTCAGTTCTTACATTCCAAAGGGATCATCTACAGGTCAGAGCAAAACTGTGTATTACATGTGGATGTACCACACTGGTCATATATCATGTTTTCGTTCAGAAATGTAAAATACTATTTTCTTTACATCAGCTGACCATTTTGTATTATTTTCCCATCTTCCACAAGAACGTTGATTTCAGTTTAGTTGCAGGTGTGATGTGAAAAAGAACTTGCAGAGACCAAAACTTGCATGGTTAGGTAATCCCACTCATTTTAACACTCATTGTGTTGTAATGCTGTTGTGATCAGGGAGTATTTAGGAAACTGTATCTGTGGGTGCAGTCTACACAATCAAATGCAGAAGAAAAACAATGAAACAAGGATTTTGACTAAAATCTCAGGAATAGTGTAACTGCTTGCAATTGGGAAATAAGAATAATATAACTTCTATAAAATGTCTTGTAAATTAACACATAAACAGTGGATTTTTTTCTTTGATGGACCTGAATGGATTAGCTGTTTCAGGCAAGTTTCAGATCTCTGCAAGATTTGCATTTTTCAAATCATAGTGAAATGACCTAAAACCAGTGGCTGCATGGAAATAAAAATTAAAACTTAAGGTGTTCTTAAGTGCAAAGTGGTAGCAATGTGACAGCAATGCACAAAACATGCAAACCCACTTGTTTGGTTCTGAAAAACATTTTGCAAGTCCTGGGTTTTAAGGTTCTTTCTCGCTTGAGTTTTGTTCGAGGGCATTTGAGGTTTCACAGTCCAGCTGGCAAAAAAAAAATGTTCTCACACTTTTTTAATCACTTCCTAATCCTCTAAAAGTAAATTCAAAACAAGCAAGCATTAAGTGGCATTCTAACATAATTCTGATTAACACAAAATCGTCAGATTAAATCTTACAATTTCAAACTCACAATCTACAATCTTATCTTCAAAATCACTTGTGTGTATTTCCAATCCTTCCGTGATTGCTTTGTTTCCAGAGATCTTAAGTTAGACAACGTGATGCTGGATTACGAGGGACACATAAAGATCGCCGACTTTGGCATGTGCAAGGAGAACGTGTTTGGCGAGAATCGTGCGACAACTTTCTGCGGCACTCCTGACTATATCGCCCCGGAGGTATGGTGTTTAATACTTAGAGATGCTGTCTTGTTCTGAAATTTTTTAATCATGCAAATGGGTGTCTCAAATTTACAATATCTTATTACAACACAGATCCTGCTGGGACAGAAATACTCCTTCTCTGTTGACTGGTGGTCATTTGGGGTGCTGCTGTATGAAATGCTGGTTGGTCAGTCTCCTTTCCATGGAGATGATGAGGATGAGTTGTTTGAGTCCATCCGCATGGATACTCCCCACTATCCTCGCTGGATCAACAAGGAGGCCAAGGACCTGCTTGAGCTGGTCTGTATCATACCTTCTATACAAAATATTTGCTTCAGGGAAAGTCTGGTATATTCATGTTTGATTATTTCACGGATGAGAGAATTCGACAGTTCTGTGTTTGATGAAATCTATTTAAATGAAATTAAACAACATAAATGTATGCAGCTGAAAATTATCTGTTTTATGAGATGTAATGGTACACATTCCTTACTTTCCCTTACTGACTTTGTTTCCCTGCAGTTGTTCGAGAGAGACCCCACTCGCAGGCTAGGAATTGTGGGCAATATCCGTTTACACCCCTTCTTCAAGAACATTGACTGGCAGGCCCTGGAGAGGAGAGAGATTGAACCCCCCTTCAAACCCAAAGTGGTATGTCCCACACGCAAGTCACAGAGGATTAAATGATGAAGAAATATGGCTCATCTGCCATGTTTACACATCTATAAGCTGCTGATATACGTTTGTTACCCATTACAGAAAGCACCCAACGACTGCAGCAACTTTGATCGGGAGTTCCTCAGCGAGAAGCCTCGCCTCTCCTACAGCGACAAGAACTTCATCGATTCCATGGATCAGACGGCGTTCTCTGGCTTTTCATTCATCAATCCCAACATGGAGCACCTTTTAGAAAACTGACTGTTCTAATGCCAGTCAGACATGGGTTACATCCCTACTGTTTCCGGACAGTTCTTCTGTCACATTGCAACAGTCAGTATTTGTGTGACCTTATGTTAAGAACAAACTATTCTTTCCTTGGGTACGTGTAGAAATGATAAGCATAGAAATGGGTCATTGTACTGTATATACTGATGTTATTGTGTTTGTGTGCATGCTTATTTGTCTAGATTGCGAAGGCCCAGATGAGGTTGAAAATCTTTACATTTCACTTGACGTCACTGCAGCCATTTTGTGTTCCACACTCAATTCAACCAAACTGGGGGTTTAAAAAAACTGAAAAGGGAAAGAAACCTATAGGAATAAATTATACTGTAGAATGCAAATGTAGATTGTGTGAATGAGTGACTGCATGTATAGAAATGTCAGATCAACAAAAATCTTCCCATCTTTAAATATATATTAATAATGAATATTGTTTGTCTTTGAATCATCTGAATCCTTGCCTTTGACTGGATAAATCATTGTCTTGCTGACAAAGAAGGATTTGTGATTGTCTGATTGACTCAGCGGTGCCATGTAAAGAACAAATGCAAACAGTAACAGCTGGCCTCAGCTGTGTTGAACTTGTGGTTGCAGTCACGGGTGCAGAAAGTTCAGTAAAGGTACAGGACTGTAAACAGTGAGTGAAAAATCCTTGAAATGCTGTATATAGATGAGGTATATGTAAATTGTTATGACATGTATATTGGTTCACTAAGGATGTACTTTTTTTACTGTCTCCATCTTATACATCTGATTAAAAAACCATCAACTCCCTGGCATTGTGTGATATTTTTAAAGCTGGTAGAGTTTACATTGTCCTTGTGCTATGAAAGATTAAGTTCTCAAAAACGAGGACATTTTAGAGGGTTTGGTCAGATCAGGGCTTATCTATAATGCAGATGACGGGTAACTAATGAAGGTGGTATTTTAGTATTACGATATGTATGTTAATTTTGGCATTTGTTTGCAGTAATGTATTTTGAAGATGTTGTGTACTTTTATATGTTCTGTCTATCTTGGTTTTTAACATCTTGGGACCATGTTGGAAATAACTTCTCACTCTGGAAAAATTTGTCCATGCATTTATCTTCAGTTGACTCGACTACAACTATATGGTGTCTTCACAGGTCTCTCTGAAACATTCAGAGCGCTGCTGCTTGAAACCTCACTAACACCAAAAAAGTGGATCAAATGACTGCAGTTCTGAAGTATTTACACTGGCTTCCTGTCTGTCAAATATTACTGTTGGTTTATAAATCACTGAATGATTTGCTGTTAAGTTATTAAGCAGTCAGTCCTCTCAGGACTCTCAACTGCAGGTTTGCTGAAATGCCGTTCTTTTAAATCAAAGCTGAAGACTTGTTTGCCACTTCCCTTTATCATATTTGAGCCCGTTGATTAATATCATACACTGCACTATAACATTTACTCTCCTGTTCTTCTTGTTTTTATTTTCTATTTAACTATTGTTAGTTGTTTTTAAATGTCTTTTTATATTCCCTTATGTTGCTTTTATGTTTTATCTAAAGCACTTTGAATTGCCTTGTTGAAATGTGCTATTAAAATAAACTTGCCTTGCCTTTAACATGTTATCTCTTGGATTCCCTAGGTTTTGTGGATGCATACATAAATCAAATAACTTTAATAAAATAAATCTTTGGTGGGCCAATAAAATCAACAGAAGATAGTTTTGTACTTGTTTGGTCAGGACATACTTTGTTGCCTGCTTAGGGACCTTTTCCATCTCCAATACACTTACAATAAATACATATTAACCAAATGTTCTTACAGTGATGCAAAAATGCTTTTAATTGGTATGACATTTCAGGAGAGTAAAATTAAGTAATAGACAGTTTTTCAGGTAACTATAGGACATTATTTTTTGTAAAAATACATAATGACAAAAAAACCAAAAGAAAGGAAGGATTTTGAGATCTGTGGGACAAAATAATTCATACGTGGGCTTTTTCTCAGCAGAGCTCATTTTGTGATTGTACAATTTACAAAATAGTCATTATGTTGGTAACGGATATTTGGTCATTACATTGATGTGGGAATTTACAATGAAAGGGACATACGCATTGTTGATGTGCCAGCCACCGCCCATAGACTATCAGAGGGATTGTGACGCCCTCTAGCGACACCACGGTGGGCACAACGTGATGTGACGTCACCGCGTAACGTGCTTTCGTATTGTGTGTACGGAAGTGTTGCTACTGCCTCTTCTACCCATGGATGTGTGGCTCTGGTCTACCGCTGTTCAACAAATGTAATCTCACACTTCTTCATTTGGAATTAGGCGTTTGTGTTATCAGTTTTCAGGCAGCCACACTGGCGGTTTTCACAGCATTTAATGATTTTCCTTCGTAGAAAGCAGGGGATAGCTTGATTGTTAAATTCACGTTTGACAAAGCGATCCAGAGGAAGTCCAAAATGAGTTCACGGGACGCACTGAGGAATGCGTCAACACTAGCATCTTATAATGTTTTGCTACAGGTGCATGAACACACACAGTTGAGCTATAACTTAACACTGTATCAGTCCAGCGTTTTAAAGTTCAGTAATTATTGTGTTTTGTTGTTAAACGTTTAATAACATGTATTGCTGTTTTTTCAGGTGATGTTCCGTGTCCTCACCTTCTTGCTGAATGCATTCACTCTGCGGTTTGTGTCCAAAGAGCTGATTGGGGTTGTCAATGTCAGGTAAAGATGACAGGTGCTGAGATGGGAGAACAGTGCCACCACATTTCACTGCACCAGCTGCTGTAAGTTTTCTATGTGTCTGTGTCTTTATTATGCAGGCTCACCCTACTGTACTCCACATTAGTATTTTTATCCAGAGAAGCTTTCCGGAGAGCCTGCCTGAGTGGGGTTTCTGGGGAAAACCACAGCTGGAGACAAGTTATAAACCTGCTATGGCTGACGTGAGTTGGTTTTACAAAATGAATAAGGTATGGGATGTGCGTTTCATCTTTTCTGCTCGGATGTTCTTATCTTTGCCTTTCTTACCTCTCAGGTTGCCTCTGGGTGTGTTATGGGCAGCCTTGCTGGTGTGTGTGTGGCTATGGCTCCTGGAGGTCCCGGACACCGAGACCGTCCCTTACTACGGCCCTGCTGTGGTGTTGTTTGCCTTGTCAGGAGTGCAGGAACTCCTGGCTGAGCCCCTCTGGGTCCTGGCTCAAGCTCACATGTTTGTCCGACTGAAGGTTGTCGCTGAGAGCTTAGCAATGATCGCTAAGTGCAGCATCACAGTGGTGCTGGTGGTGTTTGCCCGTGAATGGGGCCTTTACATCTTCTCTGCAGCTCATGTAAGAAATAAGCTTAAGTCTTCTGCATTATTTATGTAATTGCTTCCTCTGTATGTAACGAGTTTAAGATGTAGGCTTTTCTTAGTTGATGTACACAGGATTCCTGGTGCTGTGCTATGCTGTTTACTTCATTCGTTTCTTGGGCTCTAAAGAAGCAGCCAAGAAGAGTTTTCCTCTGCACCGTGTTGGAGATCTCTTGCCCTGTAGAGCTGATGGAGAGGTAGTAGGGCAGGACAATATATTTATGATCTATCTTCACAAAATGAAACTGATGAGTTACAAGATCTTCATCTGTTCTGTTTATAGCCTCTGGTTGATTGGACTCTGGCCCGGCTCACATGGAGCTTCTTCAAGCAATCCTTCCTGAAGCAGATCCTGACAGAGGGTGAGCGTTATGTCATGACCTTCTTGAACGTCCTCAGCTTCGGAGACCAGGGAGTTTATGACATTGTCAATAATCTGGGCTCCATGGTGGCTCGCTTCATCTTCTTGCCCATCGAGGAGAGCTTCTACATCTTCTTTGGCAAAGTGGTGGAACGAGGACGTGATGTCAAAAGTCAGAAACAGGTGTGAGACAAACACAAACACGTCTTTGTGAACGTCTGGGAAGCAATTGCTGTTGGTTTTACTTCATCGCTGTGGGTTTTTTCTACAGGAAGAAGTTGCCATTGCAGCAGAGGTCCTGGAGTGTCTGCTGAAACTGGTGCTTGTGATTGGTCTGATCATCACAGTGTTTGGGTACGCCTACTCTCACTTGGCTCTGGACATTTATGGCGGCTCTCTACTGAGCAGTGGGGCAGGTAAGTGAGCTACAAACCCACTGATTGTTTTGGATATTTGTGACAGATTCTGTTGTGGTTGTCACAGCTCATTCTTAGTTCCTTTGTTAAAGGTCCCACCTTGCTGCGCTGCTACAGCTGCTATGTTCTCCTGCTCGCTGTAAATGGTGTAACAGAGTGCTTCGTATTTGCTGCCATGAGCCAAGAAGAGGTTGACAAGTAAGAATGCAGATAATGTATACACAGATGTGTACATTCAGTTATTACAAATCATGTAACCTGCCAGTTAACACTGTGTTTGTGTTTGTGTTTGTGTTTTGTCCTCAGGTATAACTTGGTGATGCTGGCTCTCTCTGTGTCTTTCCTGTTACTGTCATACGTGCTGACATGGTGGGCCGGCGCTGTGGGCTTCATACTGGCAAACTGCCTTAACATGGGCCTCCGCATTTTGCACAGCCTGCTTTACATACACCGTTACTTCCAGTCCAGTCAGTGGAAACCTCTGCGAGGCCTGTTGCCTTCCCCGCTCCTACTATTGGCCCTTGCTGTCAGTGCCTTTGTCACAGTGCTGTCTGAGGTACAAGACAGTCATGTCACTTCATTTATTATTTCCTTTTTATCTATAAATATTTAACCATTACATTGCAAATTTTTTCCCCCATATAGTCTGTACTGAGTCTTGTACGAGTCAGTGGCCCTAACTTGAGCTTCTTTATTCTGTGGTTTCAGCGTGTGTTCTGCTGCGAGAGCGGCTGGTTGCTAAGGTTGGTCCACATCGCCATAGGTGCCGCGTGTCTGCTCTGTGTGTTTGTAGCTGTTCTTCTCACGGAGACTCAGCTTATTCAGTTTGTGAAGACTCAGCTCTTGCCCCGATACACAAAGAAACAAACTTGAATCAGACCTGAAGTGGGTGTGCTGGACTGGAACAAAGTTTCGCTACAAACCGGAGCTACTGACTGACAGTTAGTGAAAACAACGAGGGAACATCTTTTTAAAATAGACTTGATATGTGTGTATGTGAATGTGTGTGTATATAATGCTGGCATGTTTTTACAGGAGCGTTCCTATGTTGGCACATAGAAGGGTGAACAAACACGTCATTACTGTTTTGGGATCTAATTTTTGTTTTTTTTAATGAAAGTATTTTAAGAAAACAGTTGACATTGCTTACAGAAATACATTGTCATGCACAGTAAAAAAGGCAACCTGATTCACAGTTGTGTGTTATAATCAATGTAATGAAGAAATGTGAATTTATAAACTGTAAGCAGCCCAAAGGATCTTTTGTGTGTGTCTGAATGTTGTCAGCTTTTCACCAGGAGGATCTGTTCTTAAGCCTATTTTAAGTGACACTGGATGTACAGTTGTACTTGATAACATGACATGACTTATAATAATAATAATAACTTTTTCTTATCTCACACCTCATAAAATGTTAGTTCACATAAACCTTTTTTTGACGAGGCAAAGAAGCAGGGAGCAAATCCATTTCCACTGGAAATTTTTTAAAGCTTAAAAATGTTTGGTGACAGTTTAGTTGCTACAGATGTCTCTTTCTAGAGGGTTCGATGGGTTTGTCATATTTTACTTTATGCTAAGTAGGTTTGAGTCTAGTGATCATTTGACGTCTTGCTTGGAAACAATTTATAGTTATTTGTTTGATCTGTTCCTCTGAACTAATCCCCGCTGAATTTAGGGTCCCTAAGGGCTGAATAATGATGTAATTATGGAAAATGAGCAGGAAGGGGTGGGAACAGCATTCTTTTGAAGCAGAGCAATACTTATTCTCCTCTCTGCTCCTTTAAAAAAAAGTAAAATATATCATTATATGCGAGTCAGGCAAGGTATAAAGTTTGTTGGGAGGTTTGATGAGTCATACCTTTTGAACTTTGTCCAGTGTGCTGGGGTTGCTTATTACCAGTGTCGGAAAGTGGTTTGGCTGCAGGACAGAGGGGGAGGACACGCAGACTTCAGATTTGTCATATTCTTGCACATCTTGGATTTATTTGGAGAAATGTCATGCCACAAGTTGTAGCAGTGATCTCATCATCGCCTAATGAAGCAGCAGAAAGGACAGCAGGGAACATGAGAAAAACCAGAGGCAGGGAGATAGAAAAGAGGAGGAGCCTTTACACTCATTGCGTCATTTATTAGTCTCAAGAACAGATTTATTGTCCACTGGAGAATCACTGCGAGGTTGTATATATATATGCGAGTGTGTGTTGGGCTGGAGACAAAAAGAGAAACAGCAGACAGAGAGGAGAGTTTCCTACAGCATATCTTCAGCTGCTCAACCAACATGTCTCAAGTAAGACCACTGGTTTTCTCTCATATTGTCGAATGTCTGCTGACATGAAGAGCCAGAAATCACAGGTGTTTGTTGTTGTGCTTGTTCTTTTTTTACTGCTCTTCAGCCAGGTCAGGAAGAAGATGAACAAATGCAGCGTCCTGAGGTGAGAGAAGAAGACCTGACTGAAGCAAAGTCCAAACTGGGTACGAGTGGGCCAGCAAAGAGCAAGACATTAGAAGTAATGGAGGAGTGCGGTGAGGACGGACACACACACACACACACACACACGCCTAAATTAATTGATGATTTGACACTAGTCTTACAGATGAAACTGAAAGGAAATGGTCTTGTTTTCTGGATCTGGTTAAGCTAAGATCACATTATGGCAGTGAGTTTGTGTGGGGGGCGGTTCTCATGGTGCTCAAGTTTCCACTCCATGTACAGACAGAAAAGCAGGGTTGTAATGATGGGGGATTCCTGTCAAACAGTGTTTTCTCTCACCCAGTGGAATAAAGTGTGTGTGTTTATATATAGAGCATAGCCACAGTGTTACATAAGCCTTCTTAGTGTCTCATTAACACTGAAATATTCTGATTAATGTTGATTCTCTTCCTTCACAGAGAAAATGGGTAAAGCTGCTCCATCTGTGTTCAGTGGAGTGAGGTCAGGAGCGGAGACTGTTTTGAACACGCGCTCAGCTCGACCAATCAGGAAGTAGCAGGAGACCTTCTGACCATTATTGGAACACCTGTTCTGTGTTAGGGGTTTCAAGATCAGTTTCCAGATGTGCCTGTTTAAAAAAAATCTTGTTTCAAGATAACCTTTATTTTTTATTTTAAGCTTTTTGTTCTTCGTAAGTCACACTTGTTGCAGTTTAATGTTTCATGATTGCACATATATACAGCTGATTATTAACTTTTGAGAATTTTGTTTTTACTGTTTTTGAAACAAGTATTGACCCCCAGTTTTAGAGAGAAGGTATAATAATGAAGGAACACATGAATGAAAAAATATCTTGGAATTATGCAAATATTGTCTCATCCATCATGTGTTTCTCAGTAGTAAGTGCCAGTAATGTAGTAAATGTCAGGAAAAATGTAATAAACAAATCCATAATTATAAAATAGAACAAAAAGAGCCAATTTGTGTTTTCCTTTATATTCAAAAAATTATTTTAATCAACAAACTGAATGAATAAAACTTAAAATGTATTATAACAAAACTACTACAGTAAATGGGGCAGAGAGTGAGCCATGGTGAAGGGAGTAAAGATGGAAAAATGCAAAGAAACAAAGCATGGTAAAAGGATGGAGAGTCAGTGAACCAAGTCAACCAGGTAATGACAGCGCTGAGAACACCAGCCCTGGGAGTTGTGAATCCAGTTTTATTTCATGAACTTGTGATGCTGGTCTTGGAGGATTTTGGCGGAGGACTTGGCGTCGTAGAACAGCTCGTTGATCTCCTCTACCTGCTCCCTCTCCACGGACTCTTTCCCCTGAACACGGCCCAGCAAGCTGGCTGGTGTCAGCAGCTGTACGGCGTACCTGAGAGGGAAATGACAGCCACTCAGTTTACTGACATATATCCTCTACATTTACAGTGTATGCCAGTTTATGAAACAGAGGAGAGTAAGAGGAGTTGCAGGTCCTAAAAGTATTTTTCTACTTTGAACATTTTCTTTTGAAACTTAAGTTTCAACCTCGATATTACTTGTGTATAACAATAATATACGGTTATGTTTATACGGTTTATTACCATGATTCTTTTAGCACTTGCAATCGACCGGGATGCAACAGCCTGTGTCACAGTGATTTGTCTCATCTCGGACCTCAACATTCGTAAAGAAGATCTGAATCCTGTTTTTCACAGCCCTTTGCTGTTATTTTTGCAGGCAAATGTGAGACGTTGGTAACACACATGTTTGCTGCGTCTTGTAAACACGAAAGCAAACTGACTGACATATGACAATGTTTTGCAGGAAATGGCGGTGATTGGTCAAAATTGCAAGTTGTGCTGAATTCACAGGGATTTGTTGAATTTAATATATTAATATATTACTAAATATTGTGGTACCTATGAGCCTCATCAGCTGTTGCTATGAAGAGCGTGCCAGGGTGATAATCGTTTCAGATGTTAAAAAAGCTTTCTATGGAAAACCTGAACCACTGTGGACGCTCAACATAAGGCTGCTCATGTCTTCACTCTACTCAGTGACTCAGTGTATATCCTTACCTGAGGGTGGTCTTGGTGCCGATCTCTGCCAGGTGTGAAAGAGCTTCCTCGCTGACAGTGATCCCCTCAGTCTGCGCGCGGATTTTGATGATCTACGAACCACACCGTCATTAGCGATATGCGCACAGACGCATACGTCATACATGCAGGCACTTTAACACTCAAGACTCACCTGCTTCATCTCCTGTGGCGTGTACAACATGGTGCGGATTATCATGACTCTGTCCAGCAAGTCCAGGGGAATCCCATGTGGGGAGCTGATGTCCTCTGTCCCCCTGGTGAGCGACAAGTGACTGTTAATACTACAACTCTGACATCACAGCGAGAAAAACACTCTTTTCTGTTGAATTTTGAGGATTGGGTTTCACTCCAACCTAATTAAACAGTTTCCCCTGTTGGAGGCGAACACAACGATGGGGGCGATGGTGCTCTCGAGTGCCCGATGCAGGTATGTGAAGCATTCGATGTCCAGCATGTGCACCTCGTCCACAAACAGCACACCAGGAACGAGCTCGGCTACGCCTTGGTCAATGTAGCGGTTCACCACCTTGTTGATCTCAGCACGCAGCTTATCTAAAATAGGAGAGAAAATGGGAATGGGTAAACAATAAAAGTCAAATAGTGGTGAAGCCAGCTGGTCCCCGTTTCAGAAACCAGGTTTAACAAACTGAGTTTAACCCTGAGCTCTGAGTTGACTAAACCTGAGATGTGAAACTCAGTTTTCGGTTTCAGAAAAGCCAATCAGAATAAGTTCAGTCAACTCTGAGTATGCTGAACCTGACAGAAGCGCGTGCGTGGGAATGAAAAAAAGCCTTCATCAATGGACATCCGACACTATAGTAGAGGAAGGATCAATAGGTTAATAATATTAGGTACATTTTATACAGCATTGCACATTCATCATTTACCACACTGGGATTTCCTTAAGATAAAGTGCTGGAATTCTCATATTGCCCATTACATTCATTTTAAATAGGCTACAGGGCCATTTATTCAGCTGTAACCTAACAGAATAAAATGCCAGTGGCAATAGGTTAACTGAAGATGAAAATATTAGTCGAACAGTTTAGGCTATAGCATACTCATGAACCTGTGATTGTAAAGCCACAGTCCGACTCAGTAGGTTAGCTTATCAATGTTTTTTTTTGCAGTGGAAAATGTATCAAGGTTCAAACTGACTGTGTGCTTTAGATGTCTATTTTACATTAATAAAATCATTTCATATTTTATGAAATGCTATAAAAACACATCGACTATGCAGCTAGTAATGAAATACTCACTTTTAAACTACATTTATTTGTTTCAGCTGCACCACAGTCATCCTCACTCAGAAATAGTCACATTATCTCCAGTATGATAACTACGATAGGAATGTTCCAATCAGTGCGACTACAAAATGAAAGGTTACTGTTCATTGATCAGTTTTGTACAGATTAGTTTAAACAGTGATTACTGCAGCAATGTGGCTCACGGTAAGTGTTTCTGTGCAACTGTTGCCAACCTGACAGCTGCCTTAATATCCACGGAGTCACTGTGTTATAAAGGACAGTCTAGCTTATGGATTTTATTCTGTGCTGAGGATAAATCCATGATGTCCAAAGATGACTCTCTGTCCATACATCGATGACAGATTGATCATAAAATCGGTCATGTTCAAAAAACTAATAGCCTATCTAACCGTGATATCGATATTTCTAAAGACGTAATTGCGTTCCAATATGTGCTTTGATATCAACAGTATGAATGAGGAAATGTCAGACTGCCGCTTCAGGCTCCGCAGGAGGGGAGGTGTCAGAGATAAACTCAGTGTTTGTTGAAGTAAACCTCCTCTCAAGATTAGGTTCACAGCATAAGTTACTGATCTAGACTTTATCTGATCTCGGTCTCTGAAACCAAAAACCCAGTTTCCCTCATTTGGGCTTAACATACTCAGAGTTTTCACTAAATCTGCTTTCTGAAACAGGGCCCAGGTGATGTGAGCTGGGAAGTTCTCAGGTTTTCTCTACCTGTGATTTCTGTCTTTTTGGGTTTCATCAGTTGTCCCATCATGGAGAGAATGTCCTGGCCTCCCTGCAATCCAATAATGAACAATTATGTTCAAAAACATAGGGGTTAACTCTATTTTGGAGGACGTAAACAACAGCTATTAACAGCTATAACTTACAGGACATTTGCAGTTACATACCTGGGGTCTGGCATTTGCAATGTCCAGGTCGTGCAGTGTGACATCTTGAACTATCTCCTTCTTTTTGTGGACATCCCCCTTGGGCAGCGGCACATACTCCTCAGCCTCCAGGTCAAACTCTGTAGCAAAAGTGTCACAGCGACCTTGTCTCTGCAAAGACACAGCAACACCAAAATGTGTTAATATAATACATTTTAAAATCTACCCACCGTTTAACAAAAATTAAGGTCTCATGTTGCTCCGGCCAACAGTGAAACAAAAGACAGCACAGGGGAGGAGGGAGAGCAGGTGTGTGACTGAACCCAGCGCCAGCCCATATCAGAGAGGAGGGCATGTGGCTGAGGGATGAAAGACTTTCAGAGGGCAGGTCATGATACGGCTGTCAACAGTAACAAATGTGTCGTCCAGCCCTCCTCCTTTGGCCTCTGACTTGAGCCGGCCTATGCTCCCCCCGGCCCACCTGCACCGATTAAAAGGAGCCATCATCGCAGCCTGTCAACACAGCCCACAAGCCCCGCTGCTGGAAAAGAGGTATTGTGGGAGATGTAGAGATAAGAGGGAGCATGAAGAGCTGCAGGAATGAGAGAGGCTCATTCCAGAGTGCAGCAGAAATGCAGCAGAGCTGAAAGGGATGAAAAAATGCCACCATGAAGGACTGAAGAGGACATGCAAGACAGAAAACACCCAACTTTGATTTAACCAAATATTTCTTACAATTTGTATTTGAAATGTTTCATTTGTGTGCTTGTGAAGCAATTCAGTGAATTATAAGTGCATTATGCACATCTCTTGCTACTTTAAGATGTGAAGGAGTAACACATGAAAGTAATATAGCAATACCTTGACAGCTCCACTGTTGGCTTCAATGTAGATGACATCTCCCACTTCCACACGCTCTTTCTGAAGACTCTCATAAATACTGGGGTCCAGCTAAGGAAACAAGAGATTTTTAAATAAGACACTGTGCTATACCTTGTTCATCAGTGTTATTACAGCACGTTATACTTGAAATTTCCAAGGGATATTACATCTGATTATAAAGCCATCTCCACAATTGTTCAGTGACATTTTAAAAAGATATTTAAAAAAATGTAACAAACAATAAAATACAGTTTGCCAGGATACTCATGGGGAGGAAGAAAATGTAGTTTTCTTATCAATGTTCAGGTATGAGTTTTGCAACAGAAACAGATAAAACAAATCAGACTTAGACCAAACCTGGATGCAGGATACCGGTTATTGCTAGGTGTAAAGATATAACCATATAAGTTTTTAACCAAATGTGAAGTACCTTGAGAATTTCAAATGAAAGACGATTGAAAAAAGAAAGAAAGATTATAGATCTAAGTCTGACCTTGAGCTGCTTCGTGCCTTTTCCCGTCTTCAGACCGATGATGACGTGGCTGATGGTTTTCCCGTAGCCACCCATGGGATTCTCAGTCTCACAGGGGGTCAGCTCTGTCACCTCCCCTTCATACACCTCCTTTGTTTCTTTGATACGCAGTCCTGAATGTGGGCGACATCACAGTCATGCACACGCACGCACAGTACAGAGTGAGAACTCAATCAGGCCTTTATAATCCTGACTGAACCAAGCTGCCACATCCTTCAGTCTACCAAACAATACATTTTATTACAGAGAGAGATAGAGCTCATGTGTGCCTGTGCACATGAAATGTCTGGGCATCATCTAGTGTAACATGACCACACTCTTGTTTCTCTTTCATGCAGCCCGTGGCACTGAGTATGAGCAGCACACAGGTGGCTGATCCGTTGTGGTGAGGGTCAGAAAGCAATGCTTAAGACAGGTGTGTCACGGCATGGTTATTGATGGAGTGATGACAACTTCAAAATGAAACCCCCTACCCCTCTGTGGATCCTGTTCTAGGGGAGGAGCAAAGGTGCTGATGACCACCTCTCCCTCTACCTAAGCTCCATTTCCTTCCCTGCGACAGGTACCATCAGCAGTCATGCAGACCCCTTCCCCCTCTCCAGCCTTACTTCCTTCTCAACACCAGTCTCACAAATCCGCTGTTTTGCCTTTCAGCTCATGAGATCAGTGTGTGCAGGACACCGTGCCCTTTCTGCTCAAGGACTCCTCACTGAGGGAATGAGTTGAACATATACGGTCATTTTACACTAAGGGATATTTTTCTCATTTAGCGAGGTTTTGAAACAGCTTTTTTTTGAGACACACACACACACACACACTTTTCAGTAGAGCATCCCAGTCCAAAGTCTGAGCAATTACATGACTTTTAAAATCTGCATTTCTTTATTTTAACATTTTCTTACTCTTGTTGTGACTTTCGTTTTCAATAAACTGTTTGCCAGTAGCCGTACGTTTATTTGCCACATTACAACAGGCTGCAAAGTGAAATTTAGTTTGTAACCACCTTCTGCCACACAGCACACAATATACAGTAATATAAACGCAACCATAAAGAAGGGACACAAAATAAACTATATATTTAATGCACTTGTGTGTAACCAATCATGAAATGTTCACAACTGCTATCTCATACACCAACCTCGTTCACAGTGAATTGTATAATGGCTAATGCGCCAAATAATATTTAAGTGACACTCACCAATGGCCCTTCTGAAATTCTCCATCAGTACTTCTGTTTTTTTAATCTCAGATGAGTAGACCTCACTGCCAACCATGGGGCAAAAAGGTACCTTGTTTCCCAACTCCTGTGCTACAGCCAAGGCGAGGGCAGTCTGATGGAAGGAGAGGTAAGAAAGGGAATTTAAGAGCAACAGTTTGCAGGAACAACAGAAGCCACAGTGAATTACGATTTACTGCTGCTAGTGAATGAAAACTGCACACTTACCTTCCCTGTGCCAGGTGGCCCTGCCAGTAATACTGCCCTTCCTGCCATCTTCTTTGAGCGGATCAGCTCGACAATGATCCCACAAGCCTGGAGAGTGAAAAAATATATAGTACCATTATATAGACATACAATGATACAGTGCCCACAAGACTTAACTGCAACGCGAATACCCCTGAGTTGAGCTCTGTGTTGTAAGAATTGACTTTAAAGTGGGTGTTTTTGAAGTTTTTTAGTTAAAATATCCCCAGGTGTGCTGGACTAATGTAAAAACACGTTAGTCAACACATTTGCCATGGTTGGAGTCATACTCCATGACTGCAAGAAATGTAAACTGCGAGGTTACGCCTGTGATTTTTGTCCTTGCCATTAAAGTTAATTCAAGAGAACCAGTGCACTTGAGGTTGTGCATTTCACACTAAGTTTATACTTACATACTGAAATCAAGCAATGGCAGTAGTACCTGCTGTAGCTCCAGCAATTTCCAATCTCTGCCATATACCCATTGTACATTTTAACCCCAGGTCAATATCTACGTGTGCTACTATATTGGCATTGTGCAAATACAAAAATCTGCTCTCTTGCATCTAAAATCTTTGCAGTTGTGAAACAGGCAAACTGACAGCAATACTGCCCCGGTGACTTTAGACAGTCAAGTATCCCTACAAACAGTCAGGTGTCTCCTTAGCCTGGAAATCAGCACGTCAAGACCTGGGCCGGTTTCACAAAGATAGATCTGACTATGGCTTAGGTATAGTAGATACTCAGATTTCAGATAGACATCTAAATCAGACCGTTGCACAAAGCACTGAAGAATGAGTATCTTAAGTAGGACTACACTTTAATGATTTCTGGGTAAAATAAGACACTTTTCAAAACAACAAAAATGGCAGATTGTGTAGGCGCATTCCAACCACTCAGTGCACTTTACCCCAGCGGAAAACATGTGATTAATGAAGCAGTATAATAGTTATATTGACATTTTACTTGGAAAATTTAGTGGAGAGTGTGGTAACAAAAAGATTGATTTGGGGGGAAAAAACTGCGACAACAGTAAACAGCGTTAACTCTACCGTTGAACAGAGCATCAAAGATAATAATAATAATAATAATAATAATCTTTATTTGAAGAGCACTTTTCAAAAACAAGTTACAAAGTGCTTTAACAAGTGTAAAGACAATAATACCCAAAAAACAATAATACAAAAACAATACAAAATAAAGAAAAGACTAAAATACACGTTTAAGATAAATATATATTAGTAAAATAGAATAAAAGGGATAAAATAAAGTCAAATAAGATCGAGAAAGGCTCTCCTATAAAAGTATGTTTTAAGAAGGGACTGACTCAGCTGACCTGATTTCCTCGGGCAGGCTGTTCCAGAGCCTCGGGGCCCTGACAGCAAACGCTCTGTCCCCTTTAGTTTTCAGTCGAGACTCTGGAACAGACAACAGACCTCTGCCCGAGGATCTCAAGGTACGTGCTGGTGTGTATGGGACTAAAAGTTCAGAAATATAACAAGGTGAGAGGCCATGAAGAGCTTTAAAAGTGATCAATAGAATTTTAAAGTCAATTCTAAAACACACTGGGAGCCAGTGTAATGAAGCTAAAATAGGAGTAATGTGGTCATATTTCTTTGTTCTGGTTAAAAGCCTGGCAGCTGAGTTCTGGACAGTCTGGAGTCGATCAATAGATTTTTGGGTTAAACAGGTGAAAAGGCTGTTGCAATAATCCAGGCGTGATGAGATGAAGGCGTGTAAAATGGTCTCGGTGTCCTTAAAAGTTAACATAGATCGAATTTTTGCTATATTTCTAAGTTGATAAAAAACATGATTGAACAAGCTTTGTGGTGTGCTGCTCGAAATTTAAATTACTATCAAACCAAACACCAAGGTTCTTTGCCACAGGCTTAATGTGATTTAATAGGGAACCAGCCATCTGCCATCTGCTGGGACCCAATGACCAGGATTTCTATTTTGTCTGAATTCAGTTGGAGGAAATTATTTGACATCCATTTTTTAACTTCACAAAGGCAGTTGTTAAGTGAACTCAGCATTCCAGGGTCTGTGGGTCTGAAGGGCAAGTATATTTGTTTGTCATCAGCATAAATATGAAAAGAAATGCCATGTTTATGGATAATATGTCCAAGGGGAAGCAGATACAAGGAAAACAAAATGGGTCCTAAGACCGACCCATGAGGCACACCATATTTAACTGGACAGAACGAAGAGACATAGTTGTTTACAGGCACGCAAAACTTCCTATTTGACAGGTAGGATGAAAACCATTCTAGGGCTGTACCAGAGATCCCCACCCAGTGCCTCAGTCTGTCTAACATGATGTTGTGATCAATGGTGTCAAAAGCAGCGCTAAGGTCCAGGAGTACCAGGACTGAGCACACGCCTTCATCAGCAGACATTAAAAGGTCACTGGTGACTTTAAGCAGGGCAGTCTCAGTGCTGTGGTACTTCCTGAAACCAGATTGAAACTTTTCAAATATTTTGTTATTTTCCAGTACAGTGAGCAGCTGTTTGGACACAATTCTTTCTAGAATCTTTGCAATAAAAGGCAGTTTTGAAATTGGTCTAAAATTTTATGGGAGGGAGGGATCTAAACCAGGTTTCTTTAAAAGGGATATACAGAAGAGGAAATATCCTAAAACGGGAGGAGGCAGGGCTAAGTACTTCAGTTAATTCATGTGTCAGACTCAGGATAGCTTCCTTGGGTAAACAAAACCTACCGCTGAAGTCCTCATTGTTGTTTTTTTCTAGTAGGTTACTGCCTTCCCTAAAAACTCTTTCCCTTCTCATAGCTCTCTCCATAATATCAGTAGCAAACCACAAATCATGAGCCATTTTCCCCTTTTTTGGCTGTTTGTAATGTAACTGATTGCTACTGATGGTTACCAAGGTAACATAGCATCTTAGAGCCAAGTTAGCCTGGGGGTAAGGTGTCTAATTTTTTGGGTCTAAACTTAGTCAATCTATTTTTGTGAAACAGTCTGACTTGCATTAGACTAGTCTGTGAGCAAATTTTAAACTAGTCTAACGTTAACACTTATAGACCAGTCTAAAATAGATTTGAGAAACCGGCCACTTGATGTCTGTATCTGTTGACAATTTTAAAGCTGGTCTTTTTCACTGGATTGGTGACAGACTGTGGACACCGTTTGAGATTAAATCTTGATTCATTTGATATGCATGGAAGTCCTCCACTTGACTGAGAAAATATCATATTTCAATAAAATCACAGTTGGTGTTTGTCTATAAAGCAGATCGATTTGTTTCTATATTCATCAACAGATTTACCCTCTCGTCTAAAATGTTACGAATCAACTGGGTATAGTATATTGAAAAAAACCCCATAAGAATATAAATGAATGTGACCTATATTTTGGGTGGACTTTCCGTTTAGCTCACCTCTGACCTGAGTATGAAACAGCGACACCACACAGCTAACGGGATTCAGTTAGCTTTTTGGTGCACCTTACCGCCTGCAAGGAGTGAAATTATCCTTGCAAGAAACCATCACCTTGAAGTTATTGCTCCAAACAATACAAGAATAACGAAGGGGTAACGTTAGTGAAACATAAACATTACCTCCCTGGCAGCCTCCTGGCCCACCAGACCGCATGCTGACTGTTTAGCATTCCCGGCCTCGTCTAGCCCGAGTCCTTTGACGTGACTGTGAGTGGCGATCCGCTGAGTTTTCGTTGTGCTTTTTACCTCCTCGATCTTCATAGTTGCTTATACTTCACAGATATCAGATGTAAAAACGGCAAAGCAGGTTTACGGTAAAGAAAATGTCTCCTGTGCCTCAGATTATTTTTCACCGCCGCAAACGGCGCCGAAACTCAAAACACAGGGAAATCGGTTTCCATGTGGGTTACTAGGGAAAATCAACGGAAGTGATACCCTGAAGTACCGCCCATTTGGACTATCTAGAAAAACAATTGGAACTTGTCGAATGATACGACACGTTCATTGGCTAAAGTCACTGTCAATCATTTCCATCAACCAAAGCCCAGTCCATGACAGTCGTCATTTCCGTTTGTGTTTCAGTTACTTTGTCGTAGTAGAAACTGATAGAAACTTAAAAATGTGCGTAAAATGTGAATAAGAGTTTGAAATTAATGCAGAACTAAAACAATAGAGGGCTTTAATTGCCTCATGGGTTACCGGTTATGTTTTAATGAAAGAGCCAGTCGGGTAGGTGATTTTCCTTTTGTTAGCTAAAAAAAGAAAACAAACGTTCCGCTTTAGCATGTTGTCATGAGGATGGTGTGCAGTGACACTGAGGAAGCTGTTTACACGCTGAAGTAACGTTAAAGTTTTAGTTTTTAATTATATATGATTTTTAAGCCCCAAACTAATTAAAGCAGCTTGTGGTTGAATGGGTTTCTGGTGTGCCAGCGAGCGAAAAGATTGCTGAAAGTTCATAACGCTGTTTGATGTTTCCTTTGGAGTTCAAGGTCCAGCTCACAGTAAGGAAAAGCACAAATACCAATAACATTACATCAGACTGCGGTCAAAATGTCAGAGTCTGCTGACAGTCACACAAAAACGCTAAATTTCAACGTCGGGGTGCTCGGACATGTCGACAGCGGGAAGACGTCGCTTGCCAGGGCGCTGAGCAGCACCGCCTCCACGGCTGCCTTCGACAAGAACCCGCAGTCCCGGGAGAGAGGCATCACGCTGGACCTCGGCTTCTCCTCCTTCACGGTGGATCTTCCCGATCACCTGCGGGACAGCGGAGGCCAGCAGCAGTATGACAGCCTGCAGTTCACCCTGGTGGACTGTCCGGGACACGCCTCTCTTATTCGGACTATCATTGGGGGTGAGCTCTCTAAATTCTCTGGACGTTTTGGTGCTAGATCTCACTCCGATGTCAGTACATGGAAGGTAAATATATAGAGGTTACAGTCAGGATACGTAGACCACTACACAAGCTGAGTCGACAGAAAATATAACTCACTAACTGCACCTTGTTTCCAGGTACACGCATGCAGTCCAACAAAACAACCCGGAAATATATTTGACCTTTATGAAGGTTATCATGTTAATTTCAGAACTGTTTTTAGAAAGCTGTGGATTCACATTTGTGGTCATTTTGGAGGCTGTAGTTTGAGTGTTGAATTGTATTGCGTTATACTGAGAGGTGTCCACCCCATTTACATCAATGAGGGTTGACTAAATAGTAGAAACACCTCTCACTATTCTGAACATTATATCCTAGATAAAGGTAGGATTTACTGCAGGGCTGTTGAATTTGAGACAGGTGTAGCTAACAATCTGCCAACTGAGTGTACTTACAACTGAAGATAAAATCTCTTAAAATGCATTCTTACTCCTTATAGCAGAGAGAGCAGGGGTGTTACTAATAAAAGGTACACCATCATCCAAATATAAACCAGCCATAAACTGGAAAACAGCTTACAAAGTCAGTTGAGCCTCTGATTCTTAATCTGAAGGCACAAAGAAAAAGTCTATGTTCATGCTGTTCAATATTGAAGTGCTTGAAGTAGACAGCATAAAACTATATATTAACATTATATAGCTTCAGTCTTTTTCATTCAGTGCAAAATAAATCTAACAAAAAATTCCACAACAATAAATGAATATAAAAATTGGAAATTGCTATGCAATGCCCACAATTAACACAAACACTGATACTACTTGGAGTCACTGTATATACCAATAACTGTATCAAAAGAGAATGTATTGGGATATTAGTACCACTGTTTAAATAACACATCACAACAGAACATGAAATGATACACTATATATGTCCCACTCTCTGTTCTACACAGCGGGATGTTGCTTACACTCCATCTTCACCATTATTTGACCTCTCCAGCAGAGGGCGTATTTTCTCTGCAGGGTTCATCATGTTTTGTTGACTTGGTTGGTTGGGGGTATGAGGAGAAATAACTACAGTCTGTTCGGAGCACATAATGAGGACACTCGCTCAGAGGGACACTGGCTTTATTACCTGCTTTCTTTTTTAGTCCTTATCGTTTGTCAACCGAAATTGCGCTTTATTTTTTTTTTTATAAGCTTAGAAGAGTGTGACACAAGCAGACCTAAAAGTAATGGTCCTGGAAATAAAGCAGTTTAGAGGCACTCAAACACTGGATACTGTTGTACTGTTGTGTCGTGTAAGATACATACTAAATGAAACCTATGAGCCAGTGGGGTGGCACATGCTGTAGATTAGGGAGGAAGGAAAGTATGGGAATCGGGGTATGTATTAAACTTCCCCTCCCGTCCCAAGTGGGTAGAGCACAGGAAAGAGAGGGAGCCAAGTAGAAGGAGAGAAAAGAGGGGAACACAGGAAAGAGAGACTGCCAAATTCTGGAATAAAAGAGGGAAAGGAAAGACAACCAAGTGAGCTGCAGCTCTAGTTTCAACCCTCTAGCCTTTTACTCTCTCTTTGCCTTTGTGCACCCCTCCCCTAATTTCCCTTCTTGTTCTACTGCTATTTTTGGGTATATGTGTCCGTTCCTGTTTGTATTGCTGTTGTCGGCTTCATAGTCTCTACTCATAGTTTTTACATCTTTTTATAGATGCACAACAGGAAAGCTGGAATGTCTCAAACAGCAAACTACTTTTGCTTCAGCTTACTGCTTTTCTCCCATGTCTGTAATATCTGATTATTGTTTCTATTTTCTTCCTTCTCTAGGTGCCCAGATCATTGACCTGATGATGCTGGTGGTGGATGTGGTGAAAGGGGTGCAGACTCAGACTGCAGAGTGTCTGCTGATAGGAGAGCTAACCTGCCCCCGCATGGTCGTCGTCCTGAACAAAACTGACCTGCTGCCACCCAACAAGAGACAGAGTGCCATTGAGAAAATGACCAAGAGACTGCATAAAACACTGGAGAGCACAAGGTTTAATCCAGTTAAAATAATTAATCAGGATATATGTAGAGGTGGTGGCTGTGAAATGTGGGCCCAGACAGCTAAGTGGGTTAGGGCATACAGTGTTCTCCCAGTGGCCCAGTGTTGAATCTCTTGTCAAACTTCCTCACTCATTACATATTCTGTCTCCATCTCTGCATTCCAGAGGTCTGTCTGTCAGGCCCACTTGTTTTTTATTTGAAATAGCTTTAATCATCTCTTTTAACATCAAAGCATGAAGTAAGATGACTGTTTTTCTGTTGGCCAGCTTTAAGGAATGTCCAGTGATTGCTGTGGCAGCGAAGCCTGGGGGCCCGGAGGCTCCTGACACAGAGGAACCACATGGAGTGCCAGACTTAATCGAGGTAAAGTCCGGAAACACACTTGTTCACTCCATTGTTACTAATTTAGCTCAAAAGAACGCATAAGATCTCACTTATGAACAAGTGCCGTTATTCAGTTGACATAGTTAAAGTGGTAGTAAAGCAAATCCTCTGCTGTGTTTACTTACCGTACAATTGAAACTTACAATGGAATCCTTTGTTTGTTCAGTCAAAGTATATGCTTAGCACAGTATGTTTTGTACTTAAAAATTGACACTGCTTACTGGCAAACAAAAAAGGAACTTGGTGTTAATTGTTTACATGACTTATTAGATGTGCTACAGACATTGAAATTGATTTATCTCATGGCAGGCAATGATTCAAATAATCAAGGAGAAGCATTTGTTTAAAAGATTCAAACAAATTTAAGTCACTGTTGTCAACTGTTCTCTTTGGCCTGACCGATATTGTATTTTGAGGCCTTCGGATGTTATGGATAACTTAAAATTATTATTATTATTTTTTTAAATTGTATTAAAGACATGGACTCAGTTGAAAAATAAATTTGTCACTGCTCTCTGATGGACAAACTATGCCATGGAAGCAAAGTGGATGCTTCTGAAATTACCTCCAACATATCTTTGGAATTTCTGTACTGCAATTTCTTAGTTATTAGCTGACATATACACCGCTACCAGTAGGTCTGCAATGAGCTAATATTGGCCTGGTTGATTTTTCAGGCTGTAGTCTTGTCAAGCTCTGTCAAATACAACAAACTGAGAAAATAATGAGCATATAAATAGAGTTGTGGTGGTACCTGACACAGTATGGAGTGTGAAAAACCGCAGAATAAGGCACACGTCAGGGTCCGATCAGCACTTATAACACAAGCATCCAGTGTTTAAGCCTTAGCACTAGCTGAATATGGATCTACTTAGAACCTGTCCCTCTCTTTTATCTGATTTCAAATTTGTGTATATGACCTTGCAACATTATGACAGCAGTTATCTTTTATTTTTAAATAAAGGTGTCTTTGCCCTCTCATTTGTCTGTCTCAGCTTTTGAAGAAACAGGCGTACCTCCCTCAGAGAGACCCTAAAGGTGACCTCCTGATGGCTGTGGACCATTGCTTCTCCATCCGTGGTCAGGGAACAGTCATGACTGGAACCATACTGCAGGGGTCGTTGGCCATCAATGACACTGTGGAAATCCCAGCACTAAAGGTACGCTCTAAAAAGTGGGCATGAATTCCAAACTCTGACATTTACAAGCAAGCAACATACCATAGTGCTGGAAATTCTTTCACTGAGACCACAGAGTTTCGGAAGTTGAGAAGTTAACTGGAAGTGGGCAGACAGAGGGTGGGATGGCCGAGCGGGTTCAGAGGATGTGTCAGTTTAATGTGAGGGAAGGATGAGGCGACTGGGGCGGTGGACTGGCAGCACAGCAGTTGGGTAATTCAGACCAGATGCGCACTTTCAGCCAGGCTCAGCAGTTTTGTCTGCAGTTTTCATATTCT